AGCTTTAATCGAATGGGAACTTTTAACAATTACCTTCCGCTTACTTGTGTTATTACAACTAATTTTTTTCGTATTTCTTTACGAATAAAAGCTACATACATCCAACCTCCCCCAATATAGGGAATATATCACCAATTTTTTATAAAAAAACCAAAAATTTCAGTATATTTATTCCCAAAATAAATTTTATAACTGGTTTGAAGGACTTCACGCCCCCGATACTAAACACCTCTTTTATAAACTCAGCGTGTTGTATTTATGTTAGAGTAGGCATCTGTCATGAGAGTTTTTTGAAATGTAATTGTTATTATAAAATGTGTTCTAAGCATTTCTTGTAATTATTCGTAACAAGATACAACATGGCGCAGTCGGGGCAGTTAGTTTATTAAACTGAGCAAAGTTTTCAAGAAGTATAGGTTCCGAAACATCAAATAAGTGTATTGTTGAACAGCTGAACCTAATTATAAGAAGAAAAACCGAAATGGAATTCAAACCTCCAGCTAATTTGTCACTACAGGGAAATTTAAGTGAAAACTGGCGTAAATTTAGACAAAATTTTGAAATTTACCTGAAAGCTTCCGATAAGTCAACAAAGGACGATGAAACAAAAATAGCCATTCAATTAAATATAATTGGTGAAGATGCTGTGGAAGTATACAACACCTTTACATTGTCCGAAACTGACATGGTGTCATTTCCAGCAGTATTAAAAGCTTTCGATGACCATTGTAGTCCCAAGAAAAATATCGTGTTTGAGCGTTTTAAATTTTTTAGTAGAGTGCAGCAAGAAGGAGAAGGGTTTGATCAGTTCTTAACTGATATCAAGAAATTATCCAAGTCCTGCGAATTTGGATTATTAAGTGATGAGATGGTCCGAGACAGAATTGTTTTAGGGATTTATGACAAGGTCATGCAGGAAAGATTGTTACGGGTAGAGGATCTTGATTTGGCAAAGGCTGTGAATTTATGTCGAGCTGCAGAAATTTCAAAATCTCAAGCTAGAAATTTGCAAGGGGCTTCAGTCGAAGTTGAGGTCATTAAGAAAAAGTCAGCAAACCGAAATTATAAGTCTGTTTCCAAAACGAGTAGTGAAAGGTTTGAATGTAGAAGATGTCAGACTGTTCATGGCGTTCGTGAATGTCCTGCCTTTGGGAGAAGCTGCAATAAATGTGGACAGTTAAATCATTTTGCAGTTTCCTGTCAAGTAAAAAATGTGAAGGTGCTACAAGAACAGAATGAGCAACCTGACGAATTGGTGTTCACCATTAACAGCATTGGGGTAAGAAATCAGAACAAAAAGGTTTTGTCAATTAAGTCATGGTTTCAAAATGTGAACGTTGGTGATCATGTGCCTATTAAATTTAAACTAGACACTGGTGCAGATGTGAATGTCCTGTCGCGTAAAATGTTAAGTGAAGTAGGTGTTCCAGAGTCTCAGTTACAAAATACATAATTTTGGAGGCATTTGGTGGTACTGTCTTAAAACCTCTAGGCATTGTTCCACTAAAAGTTCAGTGTAACCGTTGAATTTACTGATAACTTCATAATTGTAGACAAAATTGTTTCTCCGTTATTAGGACTTGAGTCTTGTATTAAGTTAAATCTTATTGCACGCAAAGTAGATGCCTTGGGTAAGTTTATGACTAAGGATGAATTTATTAAGAATAATCTAGAATTATTTCAAGGTCTGGGTAAGTTTAGGAATAAATGTGAAATCCAAACAATGAAGCCATACCGGTCATTAACCCTCCTAGAAGGGTACCATTTGCTATTCGCGACAAATTAAAGGAAACCTTGATATCCTAGAAAATAGAAAAATTATTTCAAAAGTTGATAAACCGTCTGGTTGGGTTAATAATATCGTGATTGTTGAAAAGAAGGATGGCTCCTTAAGACTTTGTTTGGATCCTCGTGATTTAAATTTAGAAATTAAAAGACCTGCATATGTCCTTATTCCAACTCTTCAAGATATAATTGGAAACCTTAAAGGAAAAAAGTTTTTACAGTGCTCGATTTAAAGGAAGGTTTTTGGCATGTAGAACTTACTGAAAAGTCTAGTGATCTTTGTACATTTGCTACGCATTTTGGTTGTTACAAATTTAATCGTTTGCCTTTTGGGCTTAATATGGCGCCAGAATATTTTCAAGCCATTAATGAAAGAATCTTTGGAAACTTGATCGAATTTTAAATTCCGTGATCATAGAGCTACTGCAAATGGAGTTAAATTTAATCCTAGCAAGGTTCAATTTAAGCAACCCTCAGTTAATTATTTTGGTCATATCTTTTCGGAGGATGGAATGTCAGTTGATCCAAATACAATAGCAGCAATTAAAGGATTAAAAGATCCCACAAATGTAAAAGAACTGCAAAGTATTTTAGGAATGATAAATTATTTGCGACAGTTTATACCGAACTTAGCCGATATAACTTCTCCATTGCGTGAATTATTAAAACAAAAAGTTGAATTTAAATGGTTAACTGCACACTCGGTTGTACTAGATAAAATAAAAAACATAATTTCTAATGCTCCAGTGTTAGCTAACTTGGATTCATTAAAAAAAATCACCATACAAGCCGATGCATCCAAAGATGGCCTGGGGTGCTGTCTTCTTCAGGATGACAAACCAATTTCATTTGCTTCTCGTAATTTGAGTTCTAGTGAGAAAAATTATTCCCAAATAGAGAAGGAGCTTCTCGCTATTGTTTTTGCAGTAAACAAGTTTCATATCTTCATTTATGGTCGCGAAATAAAGGTAAATACTGATCACAAACCTTTGGTAACTCTGATGAATAAAAAAATTGGAGATATTGCCTCATCGCGTTTGCAAAGAATGAGAATAAAATTACAGTGTTAAATTTCTTACCAGGAAAATATATGTTTATTGCCGACTTGCTTTCACGATTTTACCTAAATTTTCCAGAGAGCGAAGGTGATGATCAATGGATTTCTGAAACTGTTCATACTTTAAGCAAAAATTTAAGTATTTCAGATGCTAAAAAGTTGGAATTTATACAGGCTACTGCCAATGATCCAGTTTTGTCAAAGGTAATGTTCTATATTATAAATGGCTGGCCTAAACGTAATGAACTAATGGACGGTTCAATTAAATACTATTATAAGTTTCAAGCAGAATTATCTGTCGAAGATGGCTTGTTATTTATAAACCACCGATTAATAGTCCCGGATAAACTTAGATTCTATATTTTACGGCTTCTTCATGAGCCTCATTTTGGTACTGTTAAGACCAAACAACGTGCTAGACAAATTGTATTTTGGCCAGGCATGTCAAGCAACATACAGAATATGATATCTAATTGTTATGTTTGTGAACGTTACCAAACTGCTAAACAAAGGGATTTATTGATTCCACATGAGATACCAAATATACCATTTTATAAAATAGCTTGTGATATAATGGATTATGCAGGTAATAGCTATCTTATTGTACAAGATTATTTCTCGAAATGGCTCGAGATCATTCTATTAAAAAACAAAACCTCATCAGAAATTATTAAACACCTCAAAATATTGTTCGCGAGGTTTGGTATTCCCAACACAGTAATTTGTGACAGTATGTCTTTTTCTTCCTTTGAATGCAAGAACTTTTCCAAAGAGTGGAATTTCCAGTTTTGCACAAGTTCTCCTAAATATCCACGCAGTAATGGTCAAGCAGAACGTGCAGTTCAAACTGCTAAACTAATGTTCAAGAAATGTTCTCACGACAATATTGATATCCACCTCGCATTATTGGAGTTTAGAAATACTCCCGTTTCGGGTATTGGAATATCGCCAAGTCAAATGCTCATGAATAGACTAACCAGAACCAAGCTTCCTATTCACACACAATTACTAAAACCCGCAAATCCTAAGGATGCACATAAAAAACTTTTAGCCAAACAGGAAAATTTTAAACGAAACCACGATAAAAGTGCCAACAATTTTAACCAAAATTTGAAAGCAGGTGATAATGTTCTTATAAAAGATCAGTTTTGGGAAAAAGGACAAGTAGTTGGTAATCATTCCACTCCTAGATCTTTTAATGTAATTAATAATAAGAACAATGTTGTTAGAAGAAACTTTAGCCAACTAAAACCAACTAATACAAAATTTGAAATTAACAACTCATCAAACTGCTCAAATGATCATGATCAAAGTCAAAATATGGATTGTTCTTCTGATAACACCACTGATAATAACTTAGAAACTATTAACAATCAAACCACCATTGAAATTGATTCTACAAATGACCTAATTCCTGATTCTAATATTAAACAAACTGTTACACACAGTGGTCGGATTGTTAAATTACCGACTAACTTTAAAGATTATTTTATGTAATCTCATAATAATGTTTTGTTTTAGTTTGTTTTGATTTGTTTGTTTTAGAAAAAAAAAGGAAGATGTTGTATTTATGTCGGAGTAGGCATCTGTCATGAGAGTTTTTTGAAATGTAATTTTTATTATAAAATGTGTTCTAAGCATTTCTTGTAATTATTCGTAACAAGATACAACACAGCGTAGTTAAAATTCCAAATACAATCTCAATTCTATGAGTTCGATTGCGTAATAAAATAATACTTCATTCCCTAGGTGACGCATTTAATTTGGGAAAAATTTCATTGAACTTTAAAAACAAACATAAAAATTGAACAGAGAGCTCGCACACTATTGCGATCAAAGCTGGAACTCTCCTCTTTTTTCCTGTCCAGTAGTTCATCTTTAATATCGTCCAGATCACAACTTTGGTGGGAATTTCGTATTTTAACGCTCAAAGAGAGGTTCGATGCTATACCTAGACATAGACTGATCGATATAGCACCACGCAAAAGCTCTTTTACCCTTGGTCTAAATCTAAAATTTTCTTCTAAAGGGAATTCTAAGTTATTCTTGGGCGTCTAAACTCTAAAGGTAACACCGCACTAGTAGGCGGATCGGCACTGCAACGGAACGACGCGACTCTACGATACATTTATATGGGTGTCGCATTTTAACTGCACTCAAGATCGAGCGGTTTGCGAACAAATGAACTAAATAATTTCCCGTCATCTGCCAACGAATTTTTAGTCTATCATACATGTTAAATTAAAATGGCCCCGCACAATAATAAAAATTTCAGTGACAAAGTGCTCATTAACCGTAAATCGACACCTGTCAACATTTTACCAACCGAGATACTGCTGTACATATTTTCATTTTTGAGCAACATAGAAATTCTAGATATCGCACGGCATGTCTGCAGAAGGTGGAACCTTTTAACTCCAAAACCGACCCTGGATGTAAAAAGGTTAAGAATAGCAGATTCGAAATCGCAGAATACGCGGCAGATTTGTGATATAATCAACTCGTCTCCTAAACTAAAAGACGTCACAATATCGTGCCGATCGGGTTTATCTCGTATACTTAAAACGGTAAGTTCGAATGTTTTCACGTTCTATACATCTATATAGATAGGAAAAGCGAGCAAAGATCTGCGGAAACTCAAAATAATTAATGGCGGCTTTTGCGAGCGCAGCAAATGCAGTGCGGGTGTAAACAAAATCGTGAAGAAGTGTAAAAAACTACACCGCATCGGTATACTAGCCAATCGGTGAGCTTTCAATTTCTGTTGCACTATTTCATTGTACCTTTAGATACTATCTACGTAGATCGTTTAAATTGTCCGTAAAACAAAAAACGGGCAGGCTGTGGTCGTATAAGTCAACAATGGACATACGGAATATTGAACTTAATCAAATCCCAACCTTATTGCTAGGCTTAAGAAGATATTCATTAGAAATTCCAATACCTTCGAGTAGTTCCGTCGTGGAGGAGTACTTGAGGACACCCTATCCAGGATATCAAGTCGCGGTCCACAGGGAATCGCATTTGGAACATTTTTTAAGCTTGGTGAACAATCACACTTCTCTACATGAAACTGATGTACTTTTACAAGTTCTTTAAATAAACATTTTCTTCAAGTGAAAATGGTGAAGAGAACCCACTTTAATATTTCCTCTTTATATTATTATACCAAATTTTCTCGGTAAATCCATTGAAAAATAGTGAGAGGTGCAACTTGACCAATTTATAAGAGGCTTCGTAAAGAGTATCCTATTCTCCCCAGTTATAGTGCTCAACATGGATGTATAATGGCCGTTTGCACCGACAAAATTAATTAAAATGCATGACAACCATTGTTGCAATAATCGTTACCATGGATTTTAACTACACTTAAGCTAAGCTCCGCTTAAATGTGTCGGTGCAAACGGCCATAAATCCCAATGGAATATTGGTGTTGAGCTTTTACAGAATTCAAGGTAATTTGGATGTTACATCTTCAATAATTAGTAATTACGGTCGATTTTCATTCGTACACAATTCCATTTTGAGGGGTTGATTACGAAATTCTTATCCTTCATATAGGAAATTGCGAGGAAAATGTAGGAAATGGACGAAATTAACGGAAATTCTGGGAAAATATTAGGAAATTTTGGGGAAATGGGAAGAAATTTCAAAGCAAATATTAGGAAATTCTAGGGAAATAATATGAAATTTTGAGGCAATAAAAGGTTTCTGTAGGGAAGTAACGTTGCTCATTTTACATTAATCTGGAGAAATGTTATGTAAATTGGGAAAAATTTAAGGCGATGAAGGAAATCTTTGTCCCCAAAAAATAATGATCAAAGCTCTGTTACAGAGATCAAAGAGCTATCTGTTTAATTTAGTTTTTCGTGTATTGCAGTTGTTTAATGTAAAGCAATTATTGTTTTAATATGATTAATACACTCCATTAATATACGACCAATCAGCTTGGTGATTGTTTCAAATTCTAACCAATTAGACGATTTTTTAAGTGATTAAAAGCTAGGTAACTTTTTATCAGCGATAGGGATGCCTTAAATATATAGTGGTTGTGAAATTTACTGTCTGGTATTAATCTCTCTAAAGTACACTCGATCTTTGTTTTAAATCAGGATAATTTTATTTTTAATGCACTCAAATTTTGTTGCCTCCTGGAAAAAACTCTCGATCAAAAGCATAAGATAAAATCGCTCCAGCTAAAGTTGTCGCGATTTTATAACATTTTTGAAATCGGAAAAAAATTTTCTACAAAATGACACAAAAAGTAAAAATGATTTCTATAAGAAAAAACAAAGTTGATGATTGTTGACTGGAGACGGTACGTCAAACTTGCCCTTTAAAATACCATCTTGTAGAGATAATAATGTGTCATTTATTTTGAAATATCTTTTTAAATACTTTCGGTATGAAATTAAAATGATTTTGCAAAATTTCGTTTTTTTCCGGATATCTCCGAAAGTAATCAAAATTGTTTCAGTTTAAAAACTGCATTTCGTTAATAATAATAATAATAATAACTTTATTGTCCTTACAGAAAATTCAAATACAGGACAAAGTTTAAACAAATAAAGTAAGTGGAATAGCGAGTATACTTCAAATTTAACTAAAATTAATACACCTACGTTTAATTAATTAACCTTGCCATGTATGTAACAAAATCAAAATTCGCAATTTAACATCACCTCACAAAAAATTAGAAAAGAATAAATGAAAAAAGAAAATGACAAAGGAAAACAGAAAATACCGGGTTAAGCCGGGTTGCCAAATTTAAACTACTTCTATCTCTTACGGTTCCCGAGATCCCCATGGTGGCTGTCGAATTTGAATCAGCTTGTATCATTTTCTAATAACTTTCCTTTCATTCTCCAAAAATGTTCTGCTTATTTCTTCAGAATGTCCTGGAGTATCGTCCAAATTGCCTTAAGTTATTCGAAAATGTTTCATCCAAAATTTACTATTTTTCTGCTAAATCCTCTTGCACGCTTTTCTCAAAATTGCTTCTAATTTTTTCATAGCTTCCTGATTCTTAAATTCCCCGAATTTTTATACAAAAGTACCATTTATTAAACATCTAAGTCTCACTATTTCGCCAGGATTTCCTCGGATAGAATTTCCATAAAGTGTTTTTTATATTTTGCAGACAAAAGTCGTTCGTATAAGTCCAGAATAAAAATGTTACGGCAGCACTTGGTTTGTGAATTTGTTTGGATATGGGAAACTTCAGCGAGTGAGATGGAAATATGGAACACAATCTTATATTACAATTGCGCCTCTTTACTCTTTTTCACTCAACGGTAAAGTACAAAGCTCTTATGAAATCATAAGTGATAAATAAATCTTAAAAAATCATTTAATTAGCAAACAAAAATTGCTTGACCAGAACTAAAATCGTTTGCCAGGGTTTTGGAATGAAAAAGGTAAACAGGATAATAATAAAAGACAAAGTTTTGGAATAGTGTATTATGGAGTTAAGACCAAGGGGCTAAAGTCTGTGGTTTATAATCCTAAGGGATTAGGTCGGACTTTAGTCCTGTGTTATTTACACTATTTTTTGTGCTCCTATAATCAGCAACAGTAATTTCAATGTTAAAGTGTTAAAGAAAGAAAAAATTTGATTTTATAATCAATATACCTTTTCGTGTCAAACTGTGCCCATATAATAATAAATGTCAGATTTTCGTTGAAAACTACGGCGCAGAAATGATCGTTTATCGTGGAGCATATTTGTTGCTGTAAAAGTTGTAGGTAAGTTTTGCCGCTGTCAAAGTGACTATTGTACTGCAGCTTATGTGCACTTTCACTTTGAAAAAATAAAAGTGCACTTTTGCGGCGGTATTCACGCGATTCTGAAGAGGATTTTATTTACATGAAAATGTTTCAAATCATTCAGACAGAACCGTGCACTGTGCAGGATTACCGCCGTTTCTGAAGAAAGCCTTATGCATTCATGAGAGCTTATGAAAGTGGACATGCTAAATCTGTCATAATGACACCGTCGTAGATTCCAGAAATAAAATATCAATTTGGTCATAGAACACTAGATGAATTAAGAATGGGTAAGAATTCATATTTGATGATAGTTTAAATGTGTAAAGATCACACCATGCTTTTCATTAAATACAAAAACTTCTTATGATGAAAAGATCTTTGTCATGTGGACTCCTAAATTGCGATGGATGTTAGAAAAGAGAAAAATTGAGAACAAATTTAATGTTTGTAACCTTTTACGTAAACTATTAAAACAGTTAGTATTGTATTGTTATCTGTTAGTTTTCTTAGTAAGTGATTTTAGTTTTTAATTAAATGTGTTGATATTTACCTACCCATGTGGAAAATGAAATGTTTGAACAATACAGTGGTAATGCTCTTTTAAATGACCAATTTTTTTTTACACTACCTATACCTACTTATTTAACCAAAAGTCTTCTTTTTCATATAAAACCGCGAAATGTTATAAATAATCATTTCTTCATTGGTAGACAGTTAGCTTTACTTATGATCTTAGGATTAAGTGGTGGAACAGCCGCCTAAATTTGCCAAAAATGAACTTCGTTACGTTGGACAATACTTTTTCTTGTTTCTTTTATTATTTAATGTAAATTCTGGTGGAAGTATATTGAATAAATGACTTATTATTCAATGGTCTACAAAATGCACAATACGTAGAGCTTCTTCCTCAACAATTGCCAGAATGAAAGTGGGTCATGTTCGGTTTCTAGCACACATTTTTGTATATTTTAACACCCAACTTACTTACTTACTAGCATAGATCTTCCAATTAAACCTTTCAGAATAGTCGAATTGTTGTCATCTTAGATCACATTTTCTGTGGCTGTTACTCAATAGCGTTACACTAGACCAATAAGAACGACCGCACAACGTGAAAATAATTGTGTATCATTTCCAGCCTGTATCCAAAATGACATAGTTACATGGGCCTTTAAAAGTTCTGTGCACTTCTCAGAAACATAAAGAATGCCGAATGGTCTTCATTATAAGTCGTTGCGCAACTTGATCGTGAACTGTAGCAAACATTTTGAGCCTTGAGGCCCAGAATAACAGATCGCAATTATTCTAAATGTAAATAAAAATAATGAGCTTTTTCGGCGCCCCAAGCAATGTCTCGATTTAAATTAGATCCATCTTCCTTAGTTATACATTCGTTCGACCTGTACATTTACTAAACGCAAGTAAGACAGAATTCGCGTTTGGAAAATAGCACGAAGCACAAAAGAAAATATCAAGTTCACCCTGTTTACACGTTCTAAAATAAACATATTCGCTAATTATAGAAAGAGAAATTTTATTGTTGGCTTTTCCTCCAATGGTTCAGCTAATATTGAAATTTCTCATACGGCACAGTTTTTACTAATAAACTACCTGATTAGATCATTAATGATCACAATCAGATGTTTCTATTATTTAAAGAATTTTAACCGGCGGAGTCATTAAAACTTGATTCTTTCTTATAATGAGTGTGGTTTTCACTTTAATGTATTTCACTTTCAATCTCGTTACAACAGCCCGGAGTTGTTTATACTAAAACTTCCTTTAAATAATCAAACTAATAAAATAATAAACGCTTACATAATAGAACTAGAAAACCCACTGTACGTGAGGGCAATAATAAATGGCGGTGATTGAAAAAGATTTGTTATGATAGAAGATTAGTTAACCGTGAACGGTTGGATTATAATCCGTGAGTGCTCTTCGTATAACATTTCAAGATGAACTACTAGAAAAAAGAAAGGCGTTAATTCTGTTAGTTACAGTTGAGAAGGTGTGCGCTCACAGATTAATGAATATTACAATACTTTTACTATTATATTTGTTTCCGTGTGACCGACAAGTTTGACCTGTCACCTTTGTACTTTCACTGAAATATTACAATTTCGTACTGTGCACACTTATGGCAAATTTCTTGTTCCTTTTACAGACGTTTATCTCCCTATTTTGCTTAATTTGGGACAAAGAGCGAATTTTCATTTCTCAGTTTCACTTATGCAATTAAAAAGACAATACATCTTTTCTTCTCGCGAAGTTCCCATGCGTTACTTAACACCAGGAACGCTAAAATATGCTAATCCGTACAAAAGGGTAATTTCGCCGAA